TATGCCGATGCATAGACAGATTTTCCAGATTTTCACATCCCTGAGAGAGTAGCCCGGCAACGGATGCACGAGTCGGAGCTCGCAACAATCATGGCGCGGCATTTCCAAAAGCGCGACGCCGAACTCCTTCCATCTTCCTCGCACTCGTTGGACGCTTAACTCCTTCCATCTTCCTCGCACCCGTTGCGCGTACCAGAAGAACACACGTAAAATTTATCAGCTGTCTTTCAGCGCGAAACGCGAAAATCGCTCCATCTCGCTCGCACTCTCTCTCGCACCCGTTGTCCTTACGGGAAAATCGACCCACGCGGACCGCGATATCCCGCGAACCGGCGGGCGGATCGCAAATTCTCCCTTATCTGGCGCCTCGGGGTAGAGAGGGATCCCAGTGCGGAATCTCAGGGTCACACGGCCTCCCGTTCACGAGATCCGCTGATACGTGAGTCAGTCAGTCAGTCAGTCAGTCAGTGAGTCAATCAACGTGAAGTCTGCTTTATTAGTATAGATTGTATTCAAATCTGTCAAGTAAAGCAATCAGAGTTAATGGCTTTAAAGGAAAATAACTAACAAATTTTTTCCTCATCTATGAAACCCACCATACCCGCAAAACGTCTCGTTTTCTAGTGATGAACATGTTTCACTTTTGATAGCTGCAACTTCTTGTGATTTTATTTTTCGTGGTTTTAACATGACCATTACAGTCTGGCAAGAAAGTGTCAAAAGGAAAAATTTTGGTAATCTGGCTCTGAGTACATGAGACCATCGCATTTCTAAAATAATCTTGTTTCCTAGGGAAATTGTGTAATTTCTGAATGTCACATCTGCGTAAAGAGTTGAAATTATTTTTTCATGCATGTATTTTATTAATTTCATCTATAAGTTATGAAGTTAGGCCACTGTTTTGCCAAGTTACTATTAAGAAATTCTTGCTTTGCCAGATGAAAGAGAGAAAATTTAGATCATAATTGAAGCACTTTTTTCAAAAAGTTGCCAAGTTTTGGTAAAATGAAGAAATTACAGAATTGAGTTTTTGATAGAAAAGTGTTGTTTGCCTTGCGAATATAGTATTTCTTGTCTCCTTAAAGTTCATCTCTATTTTTTAAGTTGGAACCTTTTTGGAAAAAGCGCTTCAATTTGGAATGATGTATGAAATCAAAAATTAGTTGTCAAAAATTAGTGCCTGACAAAGCCTCTTTGTTGCAGGACAATGTCGAGAGCTCGCCAACAGAATCATTGGGAAGTTGGATGCAGGAGCTGAGTATGCAAGTCAGGATGACCATCAAGGGTTGGCTGCGACCCTCCAGTCATTAAATGAGCTTGGTGATATGCAAGTCAGCATTTTAGGAAATTTACAAGAAACTGAACTGAAAACTTCGTTGATTCAGCTGTATGAGCACCTCCTGGATTTTACTGTGTTTCATGAAGGAGGTACTGAAAATGACAATGAAAATGAAATTCCACAACTACAGGAGAATTCTTTTGTCTTAAGAAATGGCATGCCTGGAAGACCAAGCATCATTCTTGATAGCAATCTTGTTAATTATTACAACACAAATGGTAAGTTATCCGTGGTTAATTATTACAATCCAATGTTAAGTTTGTAAATTCCACAATTCTAAGAATTAAAATAGGCCCTTGGTAAATTTTTAATATTAGCAAAAGCTCGTCTCCAGAGATGTGCTCCATCATCACTTTTTTTTCAGGAATTTTTATCTCAAAACCTTTGAAAAGTATGGTTAGTAAAAACTTAAGGTATGATTTTCTTATGCCCATTTGAATTCAAAGCAGGAAACTCAGCCATTAGGCCAGTTACGCTGATCACAGAATCGTATTTTGATGCTTCATTCTTGCAGATTAGCTAAAAATGATAAGATTTGTCCAAACAGCGACATTGTATGTTGAATATTAACCAAGAAATCGTGCTTTGAAAAACTCTGTTTATGATATCAGTTACTCCGGTAGTGCATGCCTTGGTTTCTTCCACCTTAGTTTCGTCAAGCAGCAATACACAATTTACCACTGGTTCCTTGATGTAAAACGCAGATTATAAACCAAGGTGGAAAAAACCACAAGAATCAATCAACCGTCAAAGCACGATTCTATGATTAACGCAACTGACCCATTGTATTGTATTTGCTCCTGCAGTATCCCCGTATTTACTATACATACATGGAAAATATTAATTTGCTAAAATAGCTAAATGCCTAATTTAAAGGACCGATAAAATGAGTCACATCATGCAGGAAGATGATTAATTTGCGATGCAAAGAAAAAATGTACCTATGTATAACTTATTTCAATTTTATTGCAATTAATTCCCATCAAAAGACGAGCCCCTTCTAATAGTAGATAGGCAACATACACTACGCTCCGATGAGGTAGTATAGAAACAACTTTAACAATTGATAACAATATCCAGGAGGAGTGGTGTTCTGATATTTGTAAACCTGAGGGACGTTTATCTATACTCAACTCCCCCTCCCCTCTTCCCGTTCCTCTAACCAAACATTTGAATCGTTCAACCGTCGTTGAATCCAACCATTTGAACATTTCACGAGTCTTAAGAATTTATGAATGGAAATACATCAGAAACTAATTCAATACAAACACTGCAAATTTTGGAAAGGTTCTTTTTAATTCTGAATGCCAGAAAGTTTTGCTGCAGAGTTAAAAAAAGAAGCCCAGGATACATTCAACTCGGAAGAAAAATGAAATATTTCTAGGGGCTTCTCCTGTACTGAATAGCAATTAAGACTTAAAAATACAGTAATACTGCAATTAAAAATTTATGATTACAGAATATAATCTTTATTATGTCGTACTACTATTGATAAAGGTTTTGAGTAAATCTGAGCTTGAGTGGATGTTTCTACTGACAGGATACTTAATTCAAGCATTAGGTTAGAACCTAGAAACATGATTTTCACCTCACGATACACATCAATGGCCGAAGTGTAAAGCGGCGTTTCCTTGTGATGTTGTAGACCTTCTCCTACAGTATTTTTTTTTCTTTCTTTTCTTTCTTTTCTTTTTAGCAAATTACTCAACGTTATTTCCGTACTTTAATTTTTTGTCTCTCTCAGCAAAATATTCTGTGTAAAGTTCAAGATAAAAATGTGACTCGTTTTTCTCCAAAAAAATTGTTATTAAGCTGAAGTTTGTAGCTGAGTAGTGTATATTTTTCTTATTGCAAACTATTTGCTCAATCCTGTTGTGTGGTTCAGTAATCCAGGAAAAATAAGTTCACCGCATGTGTTAAAAGATAAAAACTAAATCCTTGTAAATCTATGGTAAATGCAGGTCTTAGCAAGAAGGAAATTGCGAAAGCTTTCAAAGTGTCACGCAGAACCTTATACCGTAAAGTTGGTGTTGCAAAAATGCCCACATTAAGTGATGAAGATCTGAGGAATTTGATCATAGAGATGAAAGAGGAAGATCAAAGTTGCGGTCAACCATACATCACAGGTGAAGTCAGAGCTCGTGGTTACTACATCTCTCGCCACAGGATTCGGAAACAATTAAGAATTGTCGATCCTGTTGGAAGTGTTCGAAGACGCCGATTTATTGCTAGAAGGAGGCGGTATCGAGTTAGAGGGCCGAATTATTTGTGGTAAGCGTCTTGTTTTGAATTTTATCTTTTATGTGTTATAATGTTACCAGTAGAAGTATAGTTAATTCATTAAGGCGCACATGTTTTGCATCTTGACTATGTATAAATCTACAACTATATGGACAAGTTGAATTTTGATTCTGCGTCTGGTGTCAATGACCTAATATTATGAGTGTTGTCCGGAAGGTCTGCCCCCATTTGGGAATGTGAGAAATTTTGCTGAGAGCTACAGGGTATTCCTAGTATAATTATTGAAGAAATTACCCTTCAGAAGCATGTCTGGGAGAAAGATTGGATCTTAAAGTAATATAGGTTTTTATGATCTGTCACTGTAACTGCCATAGCCTAGAAGGAAGTTTTTTTTCATCCAAGGCTAGGTACCTATATTAGTCATTTTTACCTTAAAATTCTCAGGTTCTAAAATGACAATATAATCCAAAATGTCAGCAAGAGCCAATAATTAGAGTTCAAGATACTTTACAAGAACCATTATTCCTGTTGGGAACAAACATTTCAAAACAGATTGCCTCTCAAATGCAAAACTTTCATTAATCAACGAAATCACCCTTCAGCAACATTTCTCTTTTGTAGGCATATGGACGGAAACGAAAAGCTACAACTAGTGGGCATGTACATCCATGGTCTTGTCGACGGGTACAGCCGTAAATGTTTATCTTTGGTGATCTCGAACAACAAGAAAGCTGGTACTGTAAAGGAGGCGTTCAAAACAGCAACTCAGCAATTTGGATGGCCAAAAAGGGTCAGGAGCGACAAGGGTTTGGAAAACATAGGTGTTGCAAGGTGCATGCTAGAGCGCCGAGGGCCAGAGACGAAACCTTTCATCACAGGTCGATCGATCCACAATGTGCGCATCGAAAGATTTTGGAGAGAGGTCAATAAAATTACGGAACGCTTCAAGGTTTTATTCAGAAACCTTCAAGAAATTGAAGCTTTAGATCTAAATAATGAAGAGAATTTTTTTTATTTGCAGTATATTTTTATTCCTGTAAGTAATTCAAAAGTTTTTAAGTCGATTTGCATTGCGATGGAATGCCTATGACATTAGAACTGCTAAAAACACCGCCCCTAATATTTTATTCAACCGTGGTGAGAAATCACCTGATGTGGAGGGAGAGTTTGAATCCTCAGAGGATGACAGTGATGATGATGAAATTCTATTGAACGAAACAGAACAACTTTGGCGCGAGAGAGCAGAAACACTTTGTCCAAACCCTGCAGATTTCAGCGAGTATGAATCAGTTGAGAACTTCGTCAATCTGTGCCATATTATTTAGTTTATGAAGTAACTTAATTCCTCATGTACATAGAGGAAAAAAAGGAGGTGTTTGCATTTCAGGCATCTTGGAATTTTTTGATGACTTGATGACGCAGGTGGGTACAGCGACATTTAGCGTGAAGGGGACGTCGCTGTACCCACCTACGTCATCAAGTCATCAAAAAATTCCAAGATGCCCGAAATGCAAACACCTCCTTTTTTTTCTCTATGCCTCATGCCTACTTTTAATGCGTGCCGGTCACTTATCAATAATATGCTACAACATCGCAAGTTGAATACACCGAAATGATTCTGAATGATTTTTGTTTTCATGATATGTAAGTTGCTTGGTCCATAACATCTTTTATGAACTGCACATTTTGTCCTCAGCAACCAGGAAATTCTAGGGAATTTAGTTCGGAGGAAAGATTATGAAGGACACTGTTAAATTGTGGGAAAACCTTGGGAACACAGCATTTGCCCTTTCGTGGTCATGGATGACAAACATTTCAAGTTTTCACCGTCTGAATCGAGTCAAAATGTTTACTCGGGTGCTTCCAGAGAAAAGGTAAAACCTGGGGAATTTAAGATTCGGAAGACACTAAGATCCTTTAAAATACCAACGAAAATTTGTCTCTAAAATTAAATCAAGCTGTACGAAAACCACTAATGTCCATTTTCCCAGTCTGAGTTTTTTTGGGTTGATAATACTTTTCCGAGTTGTATGCAACCATGAAAGTGGTGTTAATACTCGATTCAAGGTTATCTTAGTCCCGGAAAGAGTATTTTTGCCACTTTCATGTTTGTATCAACTCTTGAAAATAATTATTAACATAAATAACTGGAACCTGAGAAAATGGACATTAGCAGTTTTCGCACAACACAATTCAATTATGAATAAAGAAACAGATGTTTATCTAAATCCTTTCTCTTTTAACGAAGAAGTTTCCTTCACAGGGAGTTAAAAAGAGCCTCTCTTTCCCATGTTTGACACCGTAACTTGATAACCACTGTGTGACTGGGTTCTCAAATAGAGTCAAATCAAGGTTGGAGTCAAATAGACAGAAAGTTGGTGATGTAGCCAAGGGGTGTTTAAAATCAGCACATAGCTGAAATTCTCACTGCAGAGGGAGTAAAGCCTTTTGAGCACAATTTCCCTCAAAGAGATATGCTGTTTGGTGCAACACTAGTTACAACCATTTCTGAAGGCAACTGCAGACGCGTTTTGGCCTTATTGGGCCAATCCTCAGTGCAGTTCAGTTCCCTTCCTGCAGAATGCTTGTAACTAGTGTTGCTCCAAACAGCATATCTCTGTGAGGGAAATGGTGCTCGAAAAGACTTTTACCCTCTACATTTAGAATTTTAGGTACATGCTGAATTTAAAAGCAAGTTGCCTACATCACCAACTTTCTGTCTATACGACTTGTGTGTCTACCGCGATCAGTTTGTTGAGTCAAATACCAAAAAACAATTTTTACTACCATGAAAACTTGGCTACAGAAGAAGCTCTTACATACATACTTGTACAGGTTTTAAGTTCTTTTACTTTTGAACCTTGTAGAAGTGCACTGTATAACACCCTCGGTAAAAACAAAGGTGTCTAAAATGTTTGTTTTACAACTCAGAATTTTAGTAATTACTTTTTTACGGATCATTTATGTCCTCCAATTGACCATTTTTTTGGTAGTACAACATAAATTTACTTGCCATTAATATTCAAGTCAATTTTGACACCTTTCTTGTGTTAACTTTGAAGAAATGTATTGTGTCTTCAGTTTTAAACAATGGAAAAATAAACCTATGTTTTGTAAATAACCTTTTTTTTTTTCAAGTGTAACCCCCTTAATTCCACCCCTACCGACAAGCATAACTGCAAAACTGCTGTTAAATTACACCCATTTTTTGAGACAGTTCGTCACCTGATACAGAACTGAGAAAAAATACCTTTAATTTGAAAATCTTATCATCCAATCATAATAACTGGCAGTCCAAATTCATGTTGGCCCATAGGTTAAGCACTGTGTTGCTCGTAACATTACCTTAAGGTTACCATAGCCCAAGCTGTAACAGGACAGGAAACACTACGGTATTTGAATCTCATCGACCTACCACTTTACCCAGTGACCAACAGTTTACAATTTTGGCTCTCCATGATTTCTGTTACGACTATTTGTAAGTGGGTAGATAATGGCTTATAATGCAATGAATTTCTTCTGTTTTTAGATTAATTGATTGATCAAAATAGAGGTTAAGATGTTTCTAAAAGGATGGACATCAACTAATTTAAAAGAAATGTTCCCAGAATTCTGCTCCATCCTGAAGGTGATGGGACTTAACTTCTTTTTAGGTACTCCAACATCAATTGGACTACATTTTGTAGCCAGGAACTATTCCCGGCTCAATCATGAAGTCATATCTATCAGTAGGTAAAGGGTAATAAATAGCACATACGCTGTTTTTAAAATGAGCCAGATATATTAGTGCCTAAATAATGTAGTTCAATTTGTCCAATAGGCCATCCTCAATAAAATGATACTTAATTTAAATGTAACCATCGACAACAAAGCAAAGAACGATTTCTATTGAATAAAACATAAGCGTCGCTGAGAACATCTGTGCAATGGCTAAGGATCCTCTTAATCTGGCAAATGTTTAATGAAAGAGTATCAATCATCTCCAGCCGGTGCCTCCCAAAGACCAGGACAACCCTTACTGTACGCTCAGGTTCATGACCCAGGGTGTCTAGCAAATTCTTCTTGTCTTTCTCCCTGACTTAACAGGTTTTCCCTGAACCATAAATTTTCCGTCTCCCATGCCTTTCACCAAGATTTGCTTTCAGGTTATACCATGTTTCTTTTCCACCCTTAGAAGCTATCAATCAATGAATCACAATTGAAGAATAAAAACGTTCCTGCAGTTGCAGAGACTCTCAAAGAATATTTTTTCGTTTTTCTCTTAATTACATCATAATTTGTGCTTCATGACAAAGCTTTTGCACATCTTTGCTTAGGTGCTTCACAAAATTGTATAGAAGTTCGCAATTTAGAGAATTAAGAAAATAGAGTTTCAAAAGTCATTGGAACAGAAAGAAAACCTTGTCTCCTCTTAGGAAGTTGGATGCTGCTAAAAATATCAAACTGCAGGCGAGGGAATGAGTGAGAATGAAGGAAGAACTGAGGGAAAAACCAGACCATAAAGAGTGTAATAAAAAAATATAAAATTCGGTGAATACTTCGAAAAATGAAGGGCCAGTACATTGAAGAAAAAAAGAAAAATTAAGTAGAAAAAATAAGCAATTTATTGGAAACTATAAAATAAAAAAGGGCATAAATGTAAGAAACTGAACTTTAGGTTCATGAAATACTTACAGAAGAAACCTCTTAAAGAGATACAAATTCAAGAAAAATAGGTAGAATTGAATTCTGAACTTTTGGTTTAAACCAAATTGAAAGATAAGAAGTTCTCAGAGTCAAATTTTTCTAAGTCAAGCAAAAAATAATGAGAAACAAATGACATAACACAAGGAACTGAACTCTAGGTTCATGAAAAACTAATAATGGAAAGCCTTTAAACAAAATTTCCACTTGGTATATAATTGTTGATGAAGGTTTGTATGTAACACCTTTAAAGTAGACCATTATTAGTATTAAAAACATTAATTTTTCGACAAATAATAAATGTATTCGATACTAACGAATCATTCCAATTTTCGACTATCATCATTGATTTCATCCTCTACTAATGTTGTTACAAGCATCTGCAGGGAAAAGAGGCAAACTTTTCATATTGAAGATGGAAATTTTAGTCGGTGAGCTTGTTTAGTGATGCTAAATTCCTGCATTTCTGAAAACTAGAGAGTCCTCTGAGTCCACAGGAATTTCCTCCAATATTTTGAAACAATTTAAACCCACAAAAAACAAGCTCAAAGTTGCATACCTTGAGCTCGTTTTCCATGGGTTAAAATTGTTCAAAAAAATCTGGGGAAATTCCTGTGAACTATGTGCACTCTCTCGTTTTCAGAAATGCAGTAATTAAACATTGCTACACAAGCTCATTATTTGTAATGAAAAACCATCATAACAAAGGTAAAAGAATAGGAGCACATAGACTGTAACGGACTTTACAATGATTAGCCTAGCTAGGTGCATAAAAATACTTGGAAATCCTTCAGGAAAAACTTATCAAGAGCAAAAAAATGAATAAAAACTAAATGAAAGAACCAATCGAAATTGTTGGCACTATATTAAACCAAAATTACTTTGTACATAATAAGGAATGGGTGTGTTGCATACAGGGGATACAGCAAACTGAATACATTGTCCATGGATAAATTCGCTCAAAAACCACGCTGGGCACATGAAAAAAGTCTGGGTCATTCCATGCCAAATCCAACCAAAATTTGGCCTGACCTCTTCAGAATTTGATGAAGTTGGGTACACTCACTCAACTCATTGTGCTGATTCCAAAAATTTGATTTTTCAATGTTTTTGTCCATTAGTTGAACTTTTATTGAACTTTAAAGTTTGAGTCAAATAACAGGTTGTCTCCTTCAATTGTCTGTATTTTCAGAGCCGTTTATCCGATCAGAACCGATCTGGTGCCGATTAAAAGCTCTTGAAACGGGTTTTCCACGTAGGCACACCAAATTTAAATTCAACTTCAAATTTTTTTTTATAAAAATTTTAAAGTCTAAAATTGAAGTATCTCCAAAGGGGCGCATAGAATCCTATGATTTTTTTTCTAGAGGTCCGTCATACCTGTATCTACACGCTTGCCAAAAATCAAAGTGGAGACTTGGTGGGGTCAAAAAATATAGCCGAAAAAGCTGCCATTTTTTCCGGTGCGCTAGCGCGACGAAAGCGCCTCCGAGCCGCGGCGTTCCGAGAAGTTCCTAGCGCATCGACACCTGTCGCGCTAGCACACCGGAAAAAATGGCAGCTTTTTCGGCTATATCTTGTGACCCCACCAAGTCTCCACTTCGATTTTTGGCAAGCGTGTAGATACAGGTATGACGGGCCTCTAGAAAAAAAAAATCATAGGATTCTATGCGCCTTTTTGGAGATACTTCAATTTTAGACTTTAAAATTTTTATTAAAAAAAAATTTGAAGTTGAATTTAAATTTGGTGTACATACGTGGAAAACCTGTTTCAAGAGCTTTTAATCGGCACCAGAACGGTTCTGATCGAATAAACGGCTCTGAAAATACAGACAATTGAAGGAGATAACCTGTTATTTGACTCGAACTTTAAAGTTCAATAAAAGTTCAACTAATGGACAAAAACATTGAAAAATCAAATTTTTGGAATCAGCTCAATGAGTAGAATGAGTATACCCAATTTCATCAAATTCTGAAGAGGTCAGGCCAAATTTTGGTTGGATTTGGCATGGAATGACCAGTCTGAAATTTATTCCGCAGCGCGCAATCTGCTCTAGTTGATAATACATTTTTCAAAATTACCACGTTTACGAGCAGTTTTTCATGGTGACCAGCAGTCATACTTCCTCGGAGGGAAGCTTAACCTAGGTATACGAGCAATCTGGCGAACTGTTATAAACACTCCTAGTATAAGATTTCAATTCATTCAAAGCTTTTGTTTAGGCAAAGTAAAGAAAGAAAATGGAAACAAACGCTTGAAATCATATAATAAAAAAAGTTAGTGAAATGGTTTGTTTTCTCTCCATTGATTCCTGTCAGTGCAAACCTGGTCGGCAATGACTGAGAAAAACTGGCCACAGACACGAGAAACTTGAAAAAGTATGTTACAAATAACGCAGATTGTGCGCTAAGGAATGGATTTCAGACTACTTTAGCGTGCCCAACATGATTTCCGTGCGATTTTACCTGTTACAAGTGTATATATTTGGCTGTATCTCTTGCTTGCAAAGGACCCATTTTACCATGTAGGTACCGGATGGAATTGCATCTATGCTAATTATTGTAAAGTCAATTAAAAATAGATGCAATAATGCAAACCATCAGACAATATATACTTCACACTCTGCCAAAATTTTTTGTTTGTAATGCCTCTGACATTCTTTCTTCAAAATCCGCGTATTGGCATGTGTAGATTGGCAGAGTTAGTCGCAAATCACAATAGGATGCCCATGGATAAGGGCGAAGCCCCTCTGCAGTGCTATGGTCAAGCTCAATTGTAAGTTTCTTCTGAAAACCTCCTGGTGGCACATTTGGATAGGCAGTTAGTAGGATCAAAAAGTCCTCAAGAGTGACATTAACCAACTTTCCATCTGCGTCAGAAAATACATGAGACGGGTTAGTATAGGAATCAAAAGTTATAGAACAGTGCTTACAAAGTTTATTTGGAATAGTTTAAATTAATTAAAAAAAAAAAAAAAAAAAAAAAAAAAAAAATCATCTGGAAAAGTTTTAGACATCTAATTGGTAACAGCAAACAGTGAAAGTAGGAGATAAATGAGTGAGGAACGAGAGGCAGCATTCCTTAATATTTAGGGTGCAAGTCTGTATAGTTTCAAAACTATTAATTTTAAAATATGATTCTTCCCTGGCCTTTATCTTCTACAGAAGCTAAAAAAAAAAAAAAAAAAAAAAAAAAAAAAAAAAGTTGTGTGCAAAATTTTACACCTTAAATGTAATTGATGGAGGTTGCAAATCTGTCTTTTACATTAGTGAGGAATTCCACAAGAATTCATAGACATTAACCATCAGTGTTTCTTTTCACTTTCATCGATGGGAACTTCTTAAAATTCATGTACTTAAATATAATCAGTGACAGCCGCACAAAATTATTCAATTTCATTAACTCCTTCGATTGAACACAAAGGGTTTGAAGCCAATGGAAAAGAGATAGAACGGCTATGTCAATTACATATGTACCCAGAGCTGTGTGAGTAACCAAACTTCAATTGAACTAGTAATTGATGTTTTTAATCATAATTTTGGTCATATAGAAAAGGAAGTGGAGATAAAGTAGATTTCTCGCAAAAAATTGAATAGTAAATTCCCCCACGCTCCATGTGTGTGCTGCCTTTTATTGTTGATAAAGGAGGTTATTTGGATACTTGGGGTAGCAGAAATTAGGTACTTTAAAAAGAAATGAATAGTTGTCAACAGGTGGATAGACGTACCAGAGCATGAATTTGGTGATGTTAATCCATATTCTGATTTTCTTTCATACCTCATGTGGTAATGTGTGTGATAATAAGGTGAATAAGGGTAATCAGACATACCAATTTAAGAAAAATGTATTAACTTTAGCTCTACTGCTCCCAGTTCAAGCCAAAACATTATCCGCAAAAGACAAGTGATTCACGACAATTTCTAAGAAGTTGTCAATAATGAGAAAACAAAGGACGAATAACAGACACAATATGTATGGTGTCTAAGTATGGGGGATAAATGTGCAAGTGCATGCCTCTCTTCATGGAAATTAAGAGAATTTGGGACACAGGTATTTTTCATATCAGACTTCTCATCATGACCATCACGGGGGTCATACCAGAGAGTCTGATTATGCATCTAAAAGCGCTGGAACTCCCATATTACCTTCTCCACACCATACAGAAGGCGTTCATTCTTAGTACCTACAGGATAGTTAGAGCTTTACTTAAATTGGAATAGTCCATTTTCTTTTCTTCTTTTTTTACCTTATGAGACGGTACAGGAGATCATGGGTGCCAAACAGACCACCGTGCATGGCATTATGATGAAACAGCTCATTTGGTATGGTCATGTTCAGAGATTGACAAGAGACAGGTTGCCAAAGAAGATCCTTGATTGGGTTCCTCCTGGGAATAGGCGCAGAGGGCACCCAATGAGAGGTTGGAGGGAGGGGATTGAAGCAGTAGGTAATGTTAAGGTGCTCAATGCCCCAAAGGTTGTGGTTCAATAGAGGGCAGTAGGGGTGCGGTGTTGTAGAGCGCGAGGGAGTGCTATAAAGCAACCTATATCTATATATGTATGTATATTTCTTTTCAATTTCTTAGATTTCTATCTTTTAAAATTTTGATGGTTAAGGCGAGAAAAGGGCTGAAGACTTAAGTCCTTGACTTGTCTTGGTTCCCTAATACCAGGAGAAATCCTTGGAGTCCAAAAAGAGAGAAAAAAACTAGTAAGCATACATGTGCGATACAAACCTTCCAAATTGTCCAAATAGTATAGTAAGTGACACAACATTGATTCTTCCTTGATTCTCTGTCTCTCGTCATCACTGAATTTAAACTGGAGCATTTTTTTGACAACAGCAGCAGTTAATTTGGCTTCTGGTTTCACAAATGCTGTTCTCATCTTGGTAGGGTATTTGCGAACAAACTCCAGCACATGTAACGTTTTTAGCCCTTCACATAGTTGATTGAAAGCCGGTTGTAGCCGAATATTCAGACAATAATCCAAAACATCTGTGAAAATATATAATATATAATTAGAGCTAAGTAGTATATTTTCAAGTAACACTTTCAATACCTAAAAATTTTCTTAAAATATGGCAATTTCTGCATAGGAACTTTACTTAAAATAATTTGACTGTTCTTATACAAGCAAACAAAGTAGGTTAGCCGATTTTGGTCCAGTGTGTAGGGCTGATCTGCTTCAAATCTAATGCATATCACATTATGAAACATAAATGCCTGTATTTTTGCTCCCAAATGAGGTTCTTGCACACATTTATTGGAACAAAAAGGAAAGGTGCATTCTACGTAAAATTTCCAAAAAATTACAAGTATTACATGGGTATTCTGGCTGCCCTGGTAAAAATGATAGGTTGATATCAGTTATAATCAGTAGCGGAAATGAACTGATATTAACTGATTTTAACTGATATCGACGGTTACCAACTGATACCAGTTGAAAGTCTACAGATATTTGATGAGTAACAGTTGGCACCAGTAGAGGTTACACTGATACCAACTGATACCAGTTGAAAGTCTCCAGATATTTGATGAGTGTCAGTTGGTACCAGTAGAGGTTGTACTGATACCAGATTATACTCAATAGATCTATATGTTGAGCCTCAATAGGTAACAGTTGAAATTTGCTACGTATCACTTGAGGTTCAATTGATATCGGTCCAGCATGAACTGACATCTGTTGAACATCTACTGATCCAAACAGAAATTCAATAGACGTCAATTACAAGTTAAACTTAGTCCAATGGGGCTACGTATGCATTTTAACAGGACGATCTGGTTGGCATGTTTGACAAGGCCCACTTGGCCACTTCATCAAGGCATCTAGTTTTCAGGGCCACTACATCAATAGAGATATTTATATTAGTTTAATCCCTTTTCCATTCAATTTTTTTCTACGGTACGTAAATGCATTATTTTATGGTTTTAAAATCTCGAATACCTAATGCTGATTATTTGAAATTCTACGGCCGTTCAAAGATTATGTCACTTGCTAAAGAAAGGAGAAGTTTAAGGACAGTGCAATACGTAGGTGGGTACCCAGCGCTGCTTGCTGTTACACAAAAATCGGTCCTTCACACCAGTTCCATGGGTTTGTCGGCACGGGAGCATGGATTTTATAC